AGAGTGGTGCAGAGAAGAATGCTGGAGAAGTAATGGCTGAAACCTCCCAAATTTGATGCAAGATCAACGTACAGATTTAAGATATTCAGCAAGTCCCAAACATGCATTACATCACAAACTGCTAAAAACCAAAGTCAAATAAATGTTGAAAGCCGGAGAAAAAGGACTGATGATATATAATAACCTGGATTTAAAAATGCAGAGTTAGTTATCAGCTAATTAAAAACAAAAGTCTTTAAACGCCATGTGAGTCAACACGACAAGCCAAGTGAGATGCACTGGGCTGTTCAGACGGGTGGGCCGGCCGCAGGGTCGACGGGAACCAACCTTCTGGGCCTCCCCGTGCCCTGAGTCATTCTCCTGATTAAGGATCATGGAAGCCTCCAGACGCTGTGGGTGCAGGTCAGGGGAGCTGTCCACTTCCTGTCCCAGTTCTGCACGGTCGGGCTGACACTCCGGTGGGCAGAGCAGGGGACATGGACATCCCTGCACTGGGCCATGGGCTCCTCGCCTGGTTTTACTGATAAGAGCTGACCTGGGGTCGGAGGCCTCCCAGCTCTGGGGTGAACCAGGGCCACCTCAGGGGCGCAAAGTGCCCGCCCTGCCTGTGGCACAGACGGCGTCCAGCCTGGTGTCATCCTGTCCCTGAGGGTCCTCACCTTCTCCGTGACAGGCAGCCCCCCCCCTTAAACCGTGGTCTGGTTTAGTGAGCCACATAGTGTGCGCCTGCTGTGGAAGTGGGTCTGATTTAAACACTTTATGCAGGAAAACATGATGGTGCTGATGCCCATTACCTGGCAAGCCAGGCGTTAGATGCTGTGTGTGGAGAGGTGTGTGCAGACGTGAGCGATAGATGACTTGGGGCCGCTCTGTGCCACACGGACTGATCTGAGACTTTGGGAGTGGCACCGATGACCAGGAATGGAATCGCCCTCAGGCTGTCTTTTGAGTGAGGGGCCTGGCCTGGAGGGGATTCCCGGGAGAAGCCTGCATCACCCTGCTTCACCTGGCAGCCTCTGGTTTCCTGCTCAGCACCCCTGGGTGCAGGCGTGTGGGGCAGAGGGCCGCCCCTCCCAGGCCATTTCTCGTGCTGCAGGGTCAGCCTGTGGGACGCGGCGTGAGGAGGTGGCGGTCTTCCCCCTCCCGTCTGAGGCCACTGCATGTCTCCTGAGGGACACACACCTCATGGGCCTGCAGCCAGGAAGGATGGGACGTTTGTGAGGCCGTGTGGGCTCGGCCCCTGTGGCGGCCCCTCCTCTGCTCTGGAGAGCTGAGGCTGCTCCTGCCGAAGGGCCTTCCTGTCTCTGCAGCCATGCACGCGGTGGCTTCATGGCCAGGACAGGAGGGATGGGAGGGTGGGCCGAGGCCTGGCATGTCCCCTGACCCCTGGGCTATGTCCCCTGGCCCCTGGATTATGACCCCTGACCACTGGGTTATGTCCCCTGACCCTGGGTTGTGTTCCCTCACCACTGGAGTATGACCCCTAACCACTGGGTTATGTCCCCTGACCCCGGGGTTGTGACCCCTGATCCATGGTCTATGACCCCTGACCACCGTTTATGTCTCCACAGCATCAAGATGGTCCTCATGTGGACGAGTGGCGACACCTTCAAGACGGCCTACTTCCTG